AAAGGGAGCCATACTGTGGAATCATCTATTACCTTACCAATGGGTTACTTTTTTCTTTTTAAATAACATGGCTCAAAGATTGTCAGGGCTGCTGCAGATAAAATGAAATTTCTAGGCTTCTCTTGTGGGAGATTAATAATCAAAGAATTTAGCCCATTTGCTATGTAGATAGCAAGTCTTACAAAATTATGTCTGAAACCTCCATACCTTCTTTACTTTGGGGCATAATTTTCAGTTTATGTAATCCAGTATATGTGGACTTAATTTTAATTGTGTTTCTTAAAAGATATATACTTTTTTTTTTTTGAGACAGAGTCTCACTTTGTCACCCAGGCTGGAGTGCAGTGACACAATCACGGCTCACTGCAGCCCTGACCTCCCAGGCTCAAGCGATCCTCCTCCCTTAGCCTCCTGAGTGGCTGGGACTATAGGCACAGGCCATCACACGTGGCTAACTTTTGTATTTTTTGTAGAGACAGGACTGGGGCTATGTTGCTCAGGCTGGTCTTGAACTCCTGAGCTCAAGATACCTACCCGCCTTGGCTTCCCAAAGTGCTGGGATTACAGGTATGAGCCACTGTACCTGGCCAATATATACTTTCTTGTCCCAACTTTGTTTTAAAATCTAATTTAGAATTCTCTAACTTGATTTCTCATGATCTGATCCAACCAGGTTCTTTTATCGTAGGTGAGGCCTGAGAGATCAGCTGATTTGGCCAAGACCACACCACCCGATAGAGGAAGAGCTGGGAATAGTAACTGAGTCTCTTGACTTTCAGTTCCCACGATGCTGTGTATAATTTTAAATAACTATACTGTAAATGAATTATACAATAATTCTTTTTTCTTTTTTACGATACTTGGTCCATCAGACAAAAAATTTTAATGAGAGAAATGTCATTTAATATGATACATTTTATGCTGTTATTAGTTTAAATATGCATATACTTTATGTATGGGGGTTGTGCAGTAGTCATTATTACCTCATTTTATAATACAATGTTAAGTCTCAAATGAAACTTGTTTTTTAGTTAAAGGTTTCCAGAGTGACTCCATTCAGAGTAGAAAAACTATAAGCTGGAGTGGTTTAAGATCGTTCAGTAACCGTTTTTCAGTTGAGGCAAGTCTAACCTGGGATGCTTAAGCTGCTTTGGATTGACTAAATAATTTTCCATCATAATGGATCAAAGAAAAGCTCCTTTGACTCCTCACTGCCCCCTCTTGCTGTCTTCCTCCTAGGAGTGAAGTGCAACCAGTGGTCTGAGGAGGCTTCGATGGTGTTTCGAAATCATGTGGAGAAGAAACCTCTGGTGGCACTGGTGCAAACAGTCATTGAAAATGCTAACCCTTGGGACCGGAAAGTAGTGGTCTATTTAGTGGACACATCGTTGCCAGACACTGATATCTGGATTCATGATTTTATGTCAGAGTATCTGATAGAGCTTTCAAAAGTTAATTAATGACTGCTTCTGAAACCTTGACAACTAATTCAAATGTTTTAGCAATAACAAAATGTAGTAGGCTTAAAAAAAATCTTATCTCTGCTACATGGCTCTGACTGCTGTGGGGGATTGAAAAGAATATGCTTATGTTTGATGAAAGATATTTAACAAGTTTTGTTTTAACAGAGTTGACTTTTCGAAGAAAATTGTACTTGAATTATTACTATAATATTAGAATAAAAATGTTTATCAATATAAAAGCTGACTACCTGGTAATTTCTAGGCTTAATGATCTTAAGATGAAAGCTTCCGTTTCATGTTGTCTTCCTTGCAGAGCTGGGTTCTTCTCCAGTTAAGCTGAGACTATTACGACTGAACTCTACCCTGATGTAGTAGTGTATCTCAAAGCAAGTGATCCCCAAAGCATGTGAGGACTTATCCTGAGTCTTAACACATCAGCATTTCTAGAGGAGCAGCCCAGGCAAACCAGCGTGACCCTCAGCCTGAATCCTGAGTGGCTTCTCTTCTCGTTGCCCACAGAGTCCGGCTAGGACCCAGGCTTTCCACAGTCCTCCTACCCAACCTCCTTATCTACCACTCCCTGCCACACTGTACCTTTATTTGGTCACTGAACTCCTGCTTATTCCATTCTGTCAACCTGCATCTCATTCTCCTCCCATCATTTTTGCTTGTCAGTGTCCTGCCTGACCTCCTGGGCCAACCATAAAGCTTTTTCTGGTGCCCCTTTCTACTCCATCGTACTTTGATCATGCCTTTCTTGGTGCCCATATGTCACTGTGCTTTATAATATATGACTAGTCTGTGCACCGAGTATGCCAGCTAGATCATGGCCCCCTGAAAGAAGGACAGGTCTTAGTCATCTCCAGTGATATACTGGTAAATGTTTGACAACTGGTTCTGTTGGGTGGGGAGCTGAGCCTTGATTTGTAGTGTCTGAAAATTCTCATATCGTAAATAGTCCCACCATTGTTGATTTTCAGCTAATAATATGACATGACTGAATGTGGAGTTGGGAAGAGACTCACCTAAGCAGCTCTTGAGACCCCATATGACAGGCTCTCCAGCACACCACCGTCTGAGCATCCACAGCCATCAGAATGGCATCTTACACACATCAGGCACTCCTTTTGTGCTTGCTAATTGATGGGCAAATAGATTGGTAGACAGGTTATAGGCTTTAGCAGTGGTCCAGAGATGAGGTAGGGAGGCCCTGGACTAAGAGTGGAGCAATGGTGTTGAAGAAAAAGTGTTGTGACCTTGTAAAGTTTTTCATTATAATTATTAGACAGCTTAAATACAAATTGGGAAGAGTGAAGCCAAGTCTTAAGGTATGAGAGCCTAGGACCTTACTCAGATGGAGTGGGGGAGTGGGAAGCTTAAAAATTTGATTTTGAACACACTGAATTTGAGCTAATAGACTTCCATGTGAAGATATGCAGAATCTTGGAAATGTGGAATAAACTTCAGGGGCAAAATCCAGGCTGGAAATAAAAATTCTCAAAGTTATTTGTTTGTTTTTATTTGAGAAAAATCTAGAAAAAAATGAGAACAGAAAGAGGAAGGTAGAGACCAGATGTTTGAAGTTTTTCATTTTAAACATGTCAAAATTATCTCTAGCTTTTTAAAACTCAGTATTTACAACAAGTGATTCAAAATTCAGGAATACTGAATGCCAGTGATTAATCATTTATGATGAAATAAAAATATCCCAACACAGAAATGTTTAAGTGAAATAAACTGTTATGTTTTTAATAATTGTTTCATTCCCTAACCAAAAAAATGCAAAAATCCTCAAATTGTCTACAAGTTAGGAAAAGGTAGTTTCTATTTCACTGACTTTAGAAATGTTTCCGTTACTTTTTAAAATAAAGCAATAAATTGTTTCTTGATGTAACCACAAAATTAGTGCTAAGTCAGTGTGACACAAACAAATGAAATGTGAACCCTTCCTCACACCATATTCAAAAGTCTATTCCAGGTGGATTGAAAACCTAAACATTGGCCGGACATGGTGACTCATGCCTGTAATCCCAGCACTTTGAGGTGGGTGGATCACTTAAGGCCAGGAGTTTGAGACCAGCCTGGGCAACGTGGAAAACCCTGTCTCTACCAAAAAATTAGCTGGATGTGGTGGTGCACACTTGTCGTCCTAGCTATTCAGGAGGCAGAGGTAGGAGGATCACCTGAGCCTAGGAGGCAGAGGGTGTAGTGAGCTGAGATCACGCCACAGCACTCTAGCCTGGATAACAGAGACCCTGTCTCAAAAAAAAAAAAAAAAAAGGAAAAGAAAAGAAAACCTAAACATGAGGCTGGGCACAGTGGCTCAAGCCTGTAATACCAGCACTTTGGGAGGCTAAGGCGGGAGGATTGCCAGTAAATATGAAGTGATGCTCAACCCATTAGGATATAGGGAAATGCAAGTTCAAACCTCAATGAGATACCGTTACTCACATACCAGAATTTCTAAAGTATTTCCATTTTTGTTACTTCCAAGTGTTGTTGAAGATGAGAAACTGCACTGTACAATGGTACTACGACTTTGGAAGAGTTCAGCCTTATCTCTGCTGAAGTTGAGGTTAGGCTTTCTCTACCACCCAGCACTTCCAAAAGCAGGCTGTGCGCGTGGACAGGAGGATTCTGACAAGGAATGTTCACAGCAGCACTATTTGTAATAGCTAAAACCTGCAAACAACCTAAATGCCCATTAATAGTCAAATGGATTTTTTTGAAAAACTGTGGTATAGTCATACAATGGAAAACCACAGCTGCATGAAACCACAGATTAACAACAGATTTGAATAAATGAAGACAAACTACAGAGGGAAGAAAAAAACAAGGACACGATCACCATAAGGGTCAAGGAAGTGATCATCTTTAGAGAGGAGTTGGGACCCAGGAGGGACAGGTTGGCTTCTGGGCTGTGGGCAATGTTCTCTGAGTGATGGTTGCACAGGGGTTCACGTTGTAAAAAGTCATGAAGCTGCACATTTATTTTGTTTACACATACAACATAACTTGTATGTTCCTATATGTTTGATTCACAACAAAACTGTTTTAAAATAATCTGAAATATTAGATCATTGCTTATTTTAAAATGTATGGCATATACCCCTTGAAAACAGCGTTCTGTTACAATTGTGAGGATTTTAGAGGAATTCATTTTCTTGAGAAACAAAATTTGATTAATGAGTGTTTCTCATTAATAATCTATACATCAGGATTAAAAGCTGATTTTATTAAGGTCTATCCTACCAAAAGTTCTCCCATAATAATCCAAAATAAGACGTTTTCCTATTTCTTTATAAATTCCTTTGCATGAGCCCTTTGTTTATTAAAACACTTAAAATTGTGTTTGGGATAAACCACCTAAAGTGGTTTGTTCTGGGGGAAAAAAAAAAAAAAAGCTTTGAAGAACGTAGGTCTTTTTGTTGTGGTCATTTTGTTGTGGTCATTTAAAATCAGTATTTTAGACACTCCACTCGCTCTCAGTGTAGAGAGAATGCATTCGATTGCGTGTTGGAACTACGTGTTGACAAAACGATCGCTGTTAAAGCTTGCGACTCAGAGCCCACCTGGCCGCGCTGCTGGGAGACTGAGGGAGCGGCGCTTCAATCAGAGGTGAAGGTGCAGCGGCCGCTTAGCTGGCTTTGGTCCATCACTTTTGGGGACTTCAGATTCTCGAAATCTAAATTCTGGACCCCACAGGAATGCAAATCTGCCCACCTTTTCCCACAAAACTCTACCGTTGTTCAAACTCTTCCTGGTACCAGCGGGGAAGCGCAGACCCAGGCAGGGGCCCGCGCTAGCTCAGCTGCAGCCCGACTCCTCGGCGC